AATATTACAAAAATCCCCTGAAATTCACTCAGCAGTCATTCATCTCGAAGATGTTCCACATCTTCTCATGAGAGGCGAGCATGAAGAAAGGGATGTCGCAAATTGAGTCACTCGCCTTAATGAATATTGTAATTAAATTTAATATTTGTAAAAATTCTTTATTACCTCCAACTGCTGTGATTTTGCCTGACAAAGGCCCATAAAGATGTGAATTTTGTGCTCGAAAACAATTCAATTTTCACGACTCTGTGTCTTCATCCATGATCGTCACATTTTCATACATATACGCGACAGACGCGCGCGATTTCTCTCCACCGCACAAATCGCGCACCTCAAGCTTTTCTGGGGGGCGAAGCTTGCAAAAAAGGCGACCGCGTTGGGAGGCGCGCGGAAAAAGAGAAACAATTACTCGATTGCATGATTTGGCTTATTAAAGTGCGACACATTCCACAAGACATTTTCCAAGCGCACACATTGATTTGCCTTCCAAGAGAGTGGAAATTCCCTCTCCTTCATCGCCATGCGAGTATAACTTGAGCAATTCACACCGCAACAAATTAATGCTCACACGTAACACAAATCGAAACATAAATTAAATTTCGACCACAAAATACCATTATTGTGCTGCCTGTGAGCTTGTTCTCACAGAAAGCCAACAATATTGCCCATAAATGTAAATATAATAATAATTAATATTAGTGTTGTTATTGCGACTGCAATTTCGTCGCTTTTTGTTGCCCATTCACCCACCGCTCAATTTTCCTCACTGGAATCCCATGCACTGTCGCGCATTCGTCATTTTCACGGAGATTATTTTTGGCTTAATTGGGCGGCCTTTTATGGACTGTGCGCGGAATTGTAAGATTTTCTGCCCAATTATCTAATCCACCGCAGATTTTTCATTGAGAAACACACACAAAGGCGCGCGCGAATATTGCAAATTAGCACCGCGCATTGTTGTATTTCCAGGCTAATAAGAGTCTTCGAGAGGAGAGGAAAATCTCCGTGCGGATTTTCCCGCGACAAAGCGGAACTTGCTTGGCAAATTGAACGAAAAATTCTCAACAACGACACCCTCTTTTGCCTCCCCATTTTCCACAATCAATTCACATTTTACTCGTGTCATTGATTTCGAATCTCCATTTCTCACTGTGAGCCTTTTATAATTATTTTTTTATGCAAATGCCTTGTAGAAATTTTTGTGAGAGCAATAAAAAAATGTATTGAGATATGATTTATGGGCTTCCGGATGCGAAATGCCGAGCAGAGGGATTTCCACGACAAATTTATTGGCAATTTATTTTGATGAAATTTCACGATTGTAATTGAGAAAAGAAGGAGCATAAATACTTTTCTTATTCTTCGCTCTGTCTGGCGATGATGTCTTCTGTGGGACATTTTCGGTGACACTCGCTGGATGTGTGTGCGGCCGAGGGGTGGGAAAAGATAGCCAGGAATTGTCTGGGGATATCCGGCGAAGGGGTTGCGGCGTCTCCCAAGGGTGGAAGGGTCTGTCCGATGTAATCTGCGCCCGGGAGTTTTATGGCTGAAAGAAGGCTCATTTGCATATCATCTGGTGGAGTGAATGATGCCAGACATTATCATATTGTTGCAAGAGAGGAATCCGACAGAGAGCGAAATAAATCACAAAATCAACCCTCAGTCGAGAGAGAGAGCATTGTTCGATTCCATTGATACAATTTTACTAATAAATGACGCGCTCAGCCCTGTTCACACATATCTCGAGTCCTCACACACTTTTTCCATCCTTAATTTTGCGCATTAATTTTCCGTCCCTCAGCGCTAGACATTCGTGAATCCAGAATATCTCGAATGTCCGGACAAGGCGACAGAGCAAGAGTGATGCCAGCACAGACATTTTCTCACATATCTCAACTGTCGTCGAATAATTTATACCAGCGCACTGATCAACATTAAAATTTCAATGGTGCCATGCGAGCGATTTGCGCTGAATCTCGCCGGGCGATCGAATTGCACAGTGCAAAACTGCAGATGAGTAATTCAATACCGCGACATTTGATTGATAGCAGATACAAATAATATCAAATTGGACTTCTCCTATTGGCACAACACTGTATTTGAGCGCGTGATAAGATTACGGTCTAGTATTTATTGTAATGCGATCGTCCTTGTCTCAATCGCGCCTCTTCCTGGAAGGCATTTTTTCACCCGAGGCCAAAATCTCGGATTCTTCGGCATGTCTTTGCCACGATCTTGTTTCTCGACAATTCCGTGAAGCGCCATTCATTATCTCTTCTGCAATGAGATTTTCATCGTTACATAAATAGGGAAATGCGGGATAAATTGGCCATGCAGAAAAAGCTAAAAAAAATCACATTCTAGAATTACTTTCAAAAATTGTTTTTCTTTTAGAAAAGAAAAATTATGAAGTATAAGAATTTTTAATGATGCTTTGAAAAGATTTTTTACAATTAGAAAATTTCTGGGTTGATATTCAAGAAATTTTGTGGTTTAGTTTAAGAAAGATAAAAGCAGAAATTAAGAAAATTTCAGAAATATGAATAAAAATAAAAATGTTACTGATTTAAAAACAACCAGGTTTTCTCAAATAAACCCCTTATTTCTTTTGATATTCTTTCGCTGTGTTGAAATCTTGTTTTGACTCCAAGACAAGTTTGGAGTCCAAAGCGCCCCGCCCTCCCGTAAGCAAGCCAGTCAATTTGCTTCATAATGTGCACTTTTTCTCCGAGATACGCCAACTGAATTTTCCCCATGATATTTAGAAAAATATTATCTGAAAATTGTCATTTTAATTGCATTCCGTCTATATCATCATTGCTCTCTGGCAGCAATTAAGCGACAAAATGTGTAAGACTCCAGTACGTATGATATTTAAATGCTCCCTGCGCTATGTAGCACGAGAGCAGTCTGTGGTGTGATACATGGGTAGATAGCGAAGGGGGAGGCCGGGCGGTGTGAGTGAGACAACATCAAGAGCGTGGAGAGTTGAAAAACTGATGAAAACTTTGACCTACATTTCCCAGCAGACAGTCAACGAAACAAAGTGACTGACTTCAACCTCAAATTTCCAGTAAATAAGCGCCGCTGCCCCAAAGGACATCACCTTTAACATGGGCGCAGCCAGAGACCTGGCACAGCTCCAGGAACACCCAAGATGATCAAAAGACGCTGGCGAGAATATCTCGCGCGCGCTGAGGATCCGCTCAGACGTCAGCGCTCGGCGGTGTGGGAACTTGACGGGGCTGCACAGCCGGATTTTTCCTGTCCTGTCGCGCTGAGCTTCCGCTGATTTTCCCACTCTTCTCCCATCGACACAATCTTCCGCGATGCCCAGAATATTTGCTCATGCGTTTCCCTTCGGCGGAAAGACGTCGCGCCCTCTCGCTCGCGCGCACGGGATCAGAGGTGGGATGCCAGTGAACTGGTGGTGGTTGTTGCCCCTTCAGGAAAACTCCTCAGCTGACGCGTGGGTGTGTGTGTGTTGGCTGGGAGAGTCGCCGTGGTGGGGATGTTCGAAAGATTCTCCCCAAAGATTGCCTCACGCCGAGTTCCTGTGCTCGCCACGGGAGCGCTCGCCACTCATCCCCTGCACTCGATCTCAGAGGGGCAGAGCTTTCGGGATTTTTTGCCTGCTGCTGGCAGAAGGGTAGGGCTCCATATTTACCTTGAGTTGCAGTCTGGGATGTAAGGAAGCACATTAAGTCGGGATTTATCGGACTTGCCAAATATCGTCTCATCCCACACAGGATGAGGATTTACTCTGCAGACGCGGGATGATCTGGGAGCAGAGAAGCCTGAGATGATTATTGGGAAAAAAAGGATGTATGGGGAGACGATGGGGAAAAAAGGAGGATAGCTGACAGGATTTAATGGCACTCATTTGAATATTGTAATTAGAAACGTGATATGTTTTCGGGGACATGTTCCGAATTCGCAAAAAGAATTCCCCCCCCGCACAAGCTCCCCATTGATGGCGCTGATGTGGGGATGAGATCAGTGTCCTCTTGCTAATTTCTCTCAACTCAATTAAATTAAGGGGGTGCTGCTGTGCGAACATCGCCTGAGACGCTGCCCAGAAAAATCGAGGACGCTGAGGTGGTATTGAGGGATTGAGCCTCAGCCGGATATCAGCGCGGAGTTCACCCTCAACCCACACAGTGACACCGCCGTCTGCGCCCCCGCGCCCGCTGTCCCTTCGCGAAGAGCCCCAAGTAGTGCAGGCTCCCGACTGGGGCGACGGTGGTGTTTGTATTATAAAAAAGGGATTTGGGGTGCCTTTGAAAGTCAATGCGCATTTGAATTTGCGTCGATTCGTTAAAAAACGCCAAAGTCCTTTCCATTGGACAAAATCTTCGGAAAACGGAAAGAACCTGGAAAGAGATGAGACGTATTTCTTCTTTTGGCTGCCACAGAGGCCGCACGAGAGTGCGAGGCGTGGCCAATAATCGCCGGAATGGGATAGCTATAGCCATCCGTCGAGACTCTCTCATTCAATACATGCCCAAGCACTCTTCAGCGGGGGGCAATAAAAGCGATACCGTGGCGGAGGCATCGATTCTATGTATGAAATCTGCCGTGGCGCGCTGAGCAAGTGTGCGTGGTGCGCGCGAACGAGACCGATTCGAAAGTGAGACGGAGCGGCGCGAGCGAGACGGCGCACGGCCGCTGGGGCGGCGGAGTGAGCGAGATGGCGGCATTTCGAACGTATCGAAGATATCGGAATCGAAGCACCAACACAGCGCCAGATCGAGAGAGCTCGGCGAGAGAGAGCGAGAGAATTCCGTGTCGGGTGCAAGAAGTTGTTGTTTTTTTCGCAGCGCCTCTCTCACTCTCAGGGGCTGGTTTGGGTGCATCGCGGGGTGTGCGGGGCGCGGAGGGGCGCGAGAACGGAACGTCAGTCGCGGGACGTGCGCGGGGTGTCGACTCTCCCGAATGAACGGCAATATGAGTCAAAGAAGCAATATACCGTCCCCATATTTGAGTTATCGTGTGCTTAGAGGTTCGGTGAGTTGGCCGCTTTGGCTGCGCTCACGGAGAGCGAAACCGATGCGAGTGGAATTAGTCAACTTCTGGTACCATACCAGAGCGCATCGTTCATTCGTACGCAGGACGATTGAGAGCCGGTTCAATATTTCTCAGATAGGCAGCATCAACACCTTATTTATCGCGCGACATTTGGTGATTCGCCATCGACTGATTCCGATTGATTGACAATTCTTGTGACTGATTATTGGTTGTCGGGGTGTTTTCTCGATGGTTGAAGGACGCTTCTCACCCCGCGTTATTCAGTGACTTGAGGACAGAGCTCTGCAGATTTAGTGAAGGTGGAAGACATTGCAGTGTGTTCTTGTGCTGCGAACCTCATCAGAGTCGGAGAGATTTTGTGACACAGTGCGGACTTTTGGCCAGAGAGTTCCGTCGTCGAATCGCACGAGACTCGCACAGTTCTCTTCTTTTTCTGAAGACATCCTGAGATGATGGCAAATCGACTTCGGGTTCGAAGACCTCCCAAGACAGATGAAGACTGAACTCAACCCTTCCGTCTGAACTAATCTTCCCACGCACCAAAGTTTTCGGCACAAGTGTGGCAGTGAAGGAGGGCTTGTTGTGACAGTGAATCCCAATTGCTCTGAGTGTGTTTTCCTGGGGCGCGAGCCAAACGGTGGGTGAATTAGTTTGAGGTGTGAAGCCGAGACTCGAGTATTCGCCAAGCAAGTGCGCGTGCAATCACGGCCTATTTAGCGAATTGCCCCTCTTCGGAGGGTTTCAGCGGGTTGGTTGGCTTGGAGGGTGGCACCTCCAGACAACAGGCCCGGATGCAGCCAACGCTGCCCCAGAGCACCGGGGCCGCCGACATGGACTTACCATCTGTCCAATCAGTGGAGTGGTTGTTTAAGAAGGAACGCATGTATTTGCTGGCGCAATTTTGGCAACAGGTACGTGTTCTCATTGCTCAGTACAGTGCGTGATTGTGCGAAGTCCTGCCGTCCGCGATGAGCCGCGCAAATTGGCTCCGTTCCTCCTCTGATCATCTCCCGAGATGATGGCGCGCGAGTATATTGAAAACTGTGAGTGCCGCCCGCCGAAGAATTAGTCGTCATTAATAAATAATCAAATTCTCGTTAGGGCCATCTTCGTCTTCGCCTTGGCGACCAGTGTGTGGTATTGGATCATTTGGCTATATGTGGCGAGGCCGCGGGAAAGGAATCAATAAGCGAGATCTTGCGGTGTGTGGAAGATTTTTCGTGCGATCGATCTGTGGGGAGGGACACATCATCATCAAGATGTGAGGCGCGCGAGTTTTTGCCATCCTGTGGCATCCAGTTTCCCAAGGATTGGCTCTCTTGCGCCTCTCCAGGGCAATCCGAGATGAATATCGTCATCATCATTAGGCTGGGGCGATTGGAACTAATCATTATTACACACATACCTCATTTAATGACGGCATATTGGGTGATTGGCTGTCATTAAATGTTTTTCCATTGATTAGGGAAGTGCTCTCGACTTTGCCGCCTCCATCGCGGCCTGTTTGTTTTGCTCACTGGTCAATTCTGCAATTTTGTGTGCTGCACTTAAGTGCCCGCGATTCTCTGGGCTGTTTTTTCCACCGCCAACCACACGCCAGTCGGTCAGCAGAAGTGCAATCTGCAAATTTGAGTGTGATTTGCGCGAAAAAAAACCTTCAATGGTTCTCTCTCTGTACAACAAAATTGCCAACGCGGTGGCTTTTTGCACAATGTCAGCAAATTGTACAAGAATTGTCCAAAATCAGAGTGGGTCAGTGGATCAAGACACAGTCGCAATGGGTTCAAGGTTTTTCCCCGAAAAAAGGCACAATATTTGCAGAAAAATCGCGCAGAGCGAGGCACTTTGCAACACTTCCTCAACCGCTAGAGATTTCCATCTTGCAAGAAAGCCGTGTGTGTTGTGAACATCCAGTGAAACATGCATTTTGTTAGAAAATACAATTTCAGTTTCATACTCAAGTACAGCTTCAATTCCTCCATTGCTAATTACACAAATATTTAAATGTTATTAAATTGTAAAGTAAAGGCTGTAGCAAATGTGTGTGCAAGAAACGCTGATTTTATAATATGTATCGCACATTTTTTCCATAATTTTTCAAAGCACGATAACCTGTCTGAGGTCTGCAATTGCACTTCGTGGGAAATTTCTGCACGAAATTCAATTGCTGTGCGCGTTTGCTGTGTGTTTGTTGGGGTTCGAGAGTGAAAATCTCTTGCCGCGGCCCTTCGATTCATGGTTGAGGTCCATTCGCTGGCAGACAATGTTGATGAGATCGATGGCAGCATTTGCCTAATACGCTTCGCACTCCTCTTATTAATACATTTTTTGGCAAATCTCCTTATGTCCCCAGGAATCCAATTAATCACGATATGCAAGCTTCACTTGATGAATTCTAAAATTGATTCAAATGTCAGGCAGGGCTTAGTGTCAAAGCTGAATTTATATTCGACCGTAAATATCTCCTCTCTATTATTATTTCAAAAAGCCGAAGATGCGTCTCAGAAATGCACACACAAACACATCGCACAACACGTCAGAATGCTCTCCCATGAGATCTTGTCGATTGAAGACATTCTCTTGCACGCACTATGGCGAAAAATGCAGAAGCATTTGGATTTTATCATTGTTAGAATTGAATGCAAAGTTTCGCCCTGTGCGGAAAATGATAAAGTGGCTCGGAATCAAACAACTCAACTGCAACAATAAGTGAGCATGAAAAGTCCTAAGGGACTCCTCTTCCTCTGATTGTTATTCCCGAAGTTCCGCATATTGTTTCAATTCACCAACTGATGGGAGTTTTATACTTGTTCCACTTCATAATTGTCGTGGTTAATCGAAAAATTATCCAGAGACCATCTTTCCTCTTCTCTTGCTCTTTTTCCCGCTGCGCCACATCAAATCCATACCCTATTTGACGAGAGGTGTATTGTGTATTCCCACTGTTTTTCCACAGCCACAGACAAGATGGAAAAACTCCAGCAACCCCTATTATGCGCCTGCAATCAACCCTCTAGAGCCAGAACCAGTTTCATCGCCGTTATTCGATAGATTTCACGTCTCACAGAGTCAAAATCGTATCTCAAATACGTATTTTGTGTGTGCCTAAAAAGTCTCCCATCGCCAGGCGCTGCAGAATAATTTTCCAAACTCAATAATGGAAGGGCGAAAAAAGCCGTCATCTGTCTTATTTATATCACAAACATATTTAATGGTTGACTGTGTTTTCGGTGCTTTTTCCTCCTGTGTGTCTTGATGGCGAAAAACTGGATAATTTATCAAATCGGACATCGTCCATGCCGCACAGTTCATTTTAGTGCTATAATTCATTTTCATCCGCTGGACACAATTTTTCCACCTCACTCCATATTGATTTTTCCCATCACATTGTGCTGTCTTGAGGCAAAAAAGATGTCAGGTTTTGTTCGATACATTGACAAATTTTCGCACCCCCAAAAGAGCAACAAACACCATTTGTGGCGCGCGGTGTGAGTGTGTCTCTCAATAGTGTTGGGGCGAATTAAAGCAGCGAAAATGTAATTAAAGTGTTAAAGCTCTGGTGGGGGTTTAAAGTGCGGTGTTGCGGGAAGAGAGACAGAGAAATTTTGGGTGTAGGAAAATTCTGCAGACACTCGACTTTTCATGCCTCACAATGGAGAGGCCGCGCGCGCGATGTCTATAGGGATCTCGAGGCAGTGCGAAAATTAAATATTTACCATCTTGTTGTTTCCTCAACTCGTGGGCAGTTGCCAATTTATTGTGTCTCGCAGGCTTTTTATAAATAGCCTTCAATTGCTCTCTCCGCGACAATGGGGATGGCCTTTTGGCGGAAAAGGGGTTGAAGAACCTTCCCCCGCACCGCTCACGACGATGATGATGATGAGAGTAGGTCAGAGTGTTGGCTTTCGCTTAGCACTCGAGTCCATCCAACCCGGAGAGTCTTGGGAGACCAAGTCTCGGGGGTGGAAGGCAGACGTTTGTCATTCTGCGAGACCACAGCACCCATCTTAAAGGGGATGACGCCGTGCGGAAAAGAAGGGTCGGAAAACTCACAAGGGTTGTGTGGACAGAGTGTGTGAGAGAGAGAGAGACTTTTGACATAGATTCTCCTCCTCTTGGGACTCCTCTTGCTTACAAGTGTTTAATTCCTTCAGCTCCTTGTCGCCCGTGTGAATATTCAGCTCTTGAATTTTGAACACACACACTTCCCCCGCACTCTGGCAATCACGGGGTGATGCGTTCTAACAAGTAGCTCATAGTTTGTGCCCTCACGCCACCCTCCACGGCGAAGGGGTGGCAGGGAATTCTCCCACGAGGAGTGATAGTAAATCTGCCGCCCAAAAGTGCGGCTCTCCCACTCGGCAAATGATGCTGAGCCACCCCCTCTTCTAAAAAGTGCCACCGAACGGGGGATAATGCGATGTGAAGGGAGATAAACCAATAAAATTGATATGGGGGAATTGACGAGGGTGGCGCGCAGCCCCACAAATGAGCGCTGCAATAATCCCATGTGCGATGCGTTCATTGAAAATTGGAGCACAAGAGTCGGCGGCTCTCCTCCTAAATCTTCCCACACTCCAGGGGCGAAAACACCCCGGAATCACAATCAATTGCTACACACTTGTGATCCCCAGGATGCTACACTCGATTGGCATTTGGCTGTCTGGGGGGAAATCGCATCTGCAATCGGCACATAAATGGCATTGACATTTTGTTCAACTCTGTTATGATTTATCTCGGCTCCCTTAACTAAAAGCCGCCTGACAGGATGGGAATTTATGTGAATCAATGGAGCAAAATCGCTTCAATTCGATAAATTTTAAACCACCTCCGATGCACATCCGTCTGTCGCTTCAACCCCAAACAATTACTCTTTCGGAACACATGTTCGAGCCATGGTTGAGCCCTTTGGTGTCCCCAAAATCTCACCCCGAAGCGATACGTGGAATTGAGGCGACATTGAAGTACATCGTGAACTGTGACTTCATCATTCAACACACTCAGAGTGATTTCAATTAACTTCCTGGGAAGTTTTTCAAAATCTTTCGAGGATATTTCACAGAAAATTATGGCGCTTTATGTCTAAAACTTCCTTCTTTTCGCAGAATGTGAAGTATAAACAAACATTGGATGGATTTATTTGATAAATATTCGACAATTATGCTTACTTCAGCATTCTTCCAAATTAACCCATTTTATGCAAGGTATTTTGTGTTTGGAATTCACTAGAAAACATCTCAAAAGAGTTTGTGTTTTGTAAAATGACTCAAGCAAATGTCTATTATTTCCTGAAATATTGTTTCTTTCACCAGAAATCCAAAATAATACACAACAAATACACGGAAATACAGCATCTGAAAAACAAAAAACACAGCTTTTCATATTGAGGTTAATGAAAAGTTTAGTATTAGTAAAGTAATTATTTCGTTACTTATTCGCCCCTTGAACACTTCTTGAAATTTTCTCAGTTTTTCTAACTTTACATCACTTTGAAACATTCCGCCGAATTTGTGGCAAAAAGTGCCCTATTTTAGATGCATTAGCAATTAAGATCACTCTGGAAAATAGACTCGCGCGCGCGTGTGGGAAAAATCCTCCCTTTGGGACGAGATTCGAGGCAGGATGTTGGCTGTTCAATTGATCAGTTCCCCCTTCATTCGATACACCAATTTGCGTTCCATCAGTTAAGAAGAGTGGCAGGAGGTCAATGAATTGGCTCATATATTCAGTTCGAAGCCAGGTTCGAATTTCATATGTGGCATTTCCATGGGGCCTAATAGCTCGTCAGCGGCGATAAGCAATGTGTATTTTTTCAATTTATCGAATTACCAATGATGTCTTCTCGTGCACTCGATTATTGATTAATGGGGATGCTTAATTTGGTCTATTGGGCCGTTGACCTCTGGCGTCT